ACTTTCCGGGGCAGGAATGACAATTCAACTTGAGCTCACACGAGCTGAAATCTAAGACATTTGCAAGTCGAAAACGGTATTGTTCCCTCTGAGCATATAATTCCCACGAAGTCGTGCTTCCAGTACGGTCGGCGGCCGATTATCCTCCTGCCGGCACCCATTCCCCTCCCAGAGCTGGTCAGCATCGGATTTCAAGGGTGTCTAACAGCCATAATCGTCCTCTCCAGATATTCAGGGCTAGATCGGACCAAGTATACCTTATCGATCTCGTCGATTTCCGTCCACAAGTTTGACTGGCTGTTATGCTGGCGAGTAAATTTTTGAAGACTTCAATCGCACAACTTGCTTCAATCTGCGATGTTCCGTCTTTTTAAACTCGCGCCAAGCGAGCTGAGTAGCGAATGCGAATCCCTATCCCGGCTCAATCGTGTTTAGACGGCTGGGACGGAGTCCGAATTCACTCCAATGATCAGGAATGAGCCTCATCTTAGAATGTTATAGTGAAGGAATTGCAAGAACACTTAAGACTGTAACCCTGCGTCGGAGCCCATGCAAACCAACGATATAGGCTCCCGTCTACGTTTCGGATTGAATTTCCGCGCACCGTTTTCCTCCTTGACACTTGACACCGAGGTCTCGACGGTAGCAGTATGGACCGGGTTGCATCGAAAATTTCCTCCTCAGCGTATTGTCTCTGAACGATCGTATACGAATTGAGGTCCACCCGAATGTTGCTTATTGAAAAAATGCAGTTCGAGAAAATAATGACTTCCAAGCCGAAAACATGGTATGAAATGTCCGCTTTCGATGTCTGCCTTGCGTCAAAATGTCCGCGCAGACATTGTTCTTTCTTCGGGAGAGGGATATCCGCTCATATCGCAAGTTTAGTGATCGCGGATCGGAAATGGATCGATCGGAATTCTCGTGAATCAACTCTTACGACAGCGATCATGGAACATTCGTATCATCGGGGTGGCCGCTGTTTGGTGCTCGTTGCGTACGTCGATTGGCCTCAGTGTCCGGAATGGGGCTCCCACTCGGTCGATCACTGTTGCGTCGCGATTCGAGAGAGATGCTCGCACTCTCTCTCTCTACCACCCTACTGGTATGGCGCGGATTGACCGCTTTCGAAAATGGCCGCAGCTTCCGAACTTATCAGATTAGGATCTCAGCCCCTTAATTAGTCCTCTGAGCTCTCTCAGTGTCTCGATTAGACGGGAACTGCACTCCAGAACCATCCAGGTAGACCCGTGAGGAGCTCGGAGGCAGACGAGAACATGAGTTGGGTCGTATCTCTAATCATTCGGTATGCTCGCCGAGCAAGAAAGGCCCAAAGCCCACGGACTCGAATGGGACCGAGTGGGACCGAGTGAGACCGAGATCGGAGCGGGCTCTCAATTAATGAAAAACGTCACGACAGTATCCCATCGTAGCATGGAAACGCCGCGGCCCTGATGACTAAAGCGCTGATCAGCCATGGGGAAGACTCCGGCCGAAACCATCTTGAGTGATTTCTCGGAAGCTCATATGGATCCCCGGAGCACCACCTAAGAGCTCAATGAATGTTTGTTGATGTCCAGAACACGAAAAGTAGCGGGAGCGCATCTCATCCCCGAACCAATAGGGATTTCGCAGATATGACGCAGACCACATTCGCGGCGTCTCGACGCTCCAGGAATTACCTGAGGGAAGCTCTGTGAATCTGATAGGATTCGCCCATCGGCTTCTGGGGATCGACAGAGGATAGAACCCCAGGCACGCCGCAGAACCTCATCGCGCGAGAGAGTCGAATTTCACTGTTCCTCTTCATTAGGAATATTCCGGTAAACTGTCGTTCAGGAAGAGCTCATCATCGGCGAGGCAAACTGGAGACGAACGCTTTCATCGATCCGCGACGATTTCTCGGATCCTATAGCTTCTGAACTCGTGACGACTCGCGCAGTCCACAATACGGATGCCTCCGCTACTGACTCGATCATTCTATGGGCCTTGGTGGGGGGCGGCTCGATCCAAAGTGCGCTCTCAAGGAGGGGCCTATCGCCGAGTTGGCCGAGTGTTCCGAGGCCGAAGCCGCGTATAATATTATACATGGTCGTCCCGGATAATGTTGAAATCGGAGCGCGGCCACGAGACATTCGCGGGTGAGCGTTTGAGCTCGGCAGCTTGTCCGCTCCCTGTCCCCTTTGCCGAACTTGCGCACCCGTTGATTCGCATCCAGAACCTTCGCTAGTCCGAACGGACGGACCTCGGCAGAGCCGACTTCTGTCAGACCGACTTCGGTCATACAGATTCGGTCAAGCGGTGTTTGGCGCTCTAGGTCAGGAGGATTCCGTCCAGAGGGAGGTCATATCTCAGGGAGCGATCTTCACGTGGCGAGATGACGAGGATCTTTTACGGTATCGCTAAGATTCATCCGAGGGTTTCCCCCCTCCCTCGGCTTTCGGAGGAAGAGCGAGCTCTCAATGTGCAGTCATTCATCAAGGGAGCATATGCGAGGGGAGTTCTGCGCCGATACTTATTTCACGGAAGTTCTCCTTGCTATCATCGCGATTCAGCTGCGCCCTCCCGGGAGTCGCTCATTCAAGGGTCCACCCTTCCCGCTCGCGTGTCTCGAGTACACTCAGCGACCCCGCCTTGAGAGCTCCAGGTAGAGCTTCGATGACAGGCTCTAGAGTCAAGCCTGTCTCCCGAATGAAGAGCCTCCCGCGTCTCTCCATAATTTTTCATGATTTGTGCAGCGCTCGCGGGGAGGATGCGGAGGAAGAAGCCCTTCCTCTGCATTCCGGATAGCTGATTCCGGAATGCTCCGGGATCAGCTATCCGGAACTCCTTCTCCCCGATGACAGTCGATGCTCACGTGGAGTCCCGTCGGAAGAGTTCTCGATTCTGAGGTATGACCTCGCTGCTCATCCCGAATTCTAAGGAATACCGAGAGCGGAGGTGTCGAGTGGATTTCCTTGGATGCGTACTCTGGCTTTCTGACCATGCTGCGTCGAGTTCCGTTATCTATACCGTAGTTATCTATACCGTGACGCACTTTTGCTCCGTCTCCTGCCACATGAGATGCTACGACGCCGCAAAAAAATACTCTATCAGGAGACTACACCTTTGGAGCTCGCTTCCTGCCGGAACCATATCGCTTCCGGCAATTATGCTTGTTTTGTCAGGACGTGCGAGCTCTCAATCGAGTTGTACTCCTTGAAAACTCAGATCGTTCCTTTGATGTACCGCGTAGCCCGCTACGTAGACGATCCACGGTACGCACGGAGTCCATTGCCATGACTGATCTCGTCAGCGATGTATTCTCGTGGAGGGTGCGCTCTGGAATCGGCAATCGGGGCACCCCGAATGAATTACTTTTATTTATCTCCGGAATGCAGAGTATTTGAATAAAATCGAAAATCAATTTGAATGCCCCGAGTCTGATAAACCCCTGGCTGATCCCGGGGCGATGCTAACGCGAGTTGGCAGAAGCCTCGAGCGTCTCGCAGCCTCCAATCGATAAATGAAAGATCAAAGAAGGTCCTTCTCTCGCCGCTCAGAGGATGAGATAAGAGAATCCTGATCGTAGACATAATTGAGGATCGGAAGCCAGACAATCAAGCAGGACGCTGAATCAAGGTGCAGTCGATAGCGAGGGTGAACAATATTTGGGTGTCGAATTTTCTCCGGTATGCCTCCGTCAGCTCCGCTCGGGATTTCGTCCATCGATTCTCACTGTGGAAGCAGAACTCGATCCGCCGTCAGCGCGCATCACTCCAGACCGTAATTTCGATTTTATTCCGCTTCATTCATCGGAGCTGTATAATTCATAGAGCGAGGAGTTTCTGTTTCCATTATGATAGTTTTCTCGCGTGTTGTGATGATCCCGTTGCTGGTGCTCTGAGGCGTGTTCAGCATCACAGAAGAGTAGCAACACTATTCATCGTATTCGACAATATGCGCCTTCCTATCTACGGCTTCCAACAAAGTGAATCTCGTGCCGAACGACCGCTCGGTTTGCCAACCTATCGACCCAGCGGAGTGAGGCAGAGCTGACCGCCCGGCATTCCCCGGAGGAAGCCCATCTTGACGCCTGACTCCGCGGATAGTCTATCTTTTCGCCCCTCCTTCGTTTCGGTTCAGTCGATGCTGTTGCGGTGCCGCTCGCTTCGAAAGTAGAACCGCGAGCGGATTCACGAGTTGTTGCTGCTACCCGTGCTTCGGACGAGATGGACGCCAGAGCGATCTCGGCTCGAACTGCCGCGCTCGTCTGGTGAGAGCTTCGCATGGGAGGAAGGAAGCTCCCGAGCAGCCCCGAGAGCGGAGTTCGCCTAAGCGAAGCCTCCTTTCGGAAGGCGGCGTCGAAGTGAAGAGGACAACCACGGCGATGACTAGCGGGACGCGATGGAGTAGGGGGAGGAGGAGGAGGGTAGAGTTGCGGCCTCGGTCGAGCAGCTTCCTACGGTTCCCTGGTCGCCCGTAACATCAGTCTTAACCACGACTTTCTATATCGTAGTTGGGAGCTGAACGCGATCGGACGTCGAATTCCGAATTCATCATGGCGCGCATCCTTTCCTTGCGTAGGGTTTCGCATCTATGCTCTCGCTTCTCATAGCGCGCAAGCAGCGACCTGCGACGACAGCAGCGATCGTTGTGCTCGTCGTCGTGGTGGTGTTGTTGATGGTGGTTCATGCTCTCTTTCGCGACGCAGGCGATGTCAGTCGGTGTTGACGCGAATCTTCAAATAAAATTATATAAATAGAGGGATCATTGCGCCGCACTCGGAGCAGGGCGATCGGGGGAATTATCGATCGAAATCCGATTCACTCCCGAGCAGCGATCGGAGTGCGACTATCAAGCTTCCTAGGGCCAGGAAAGTTCGTTGGGAACAAGTTGTGACGTCACCTCCGGTTTGGCGGCAATGCTTTCCATTGGTAGACAGAGGGCGCTGACTATCCAACGTAGGTCTCTTTCCCTCCCAGCGTCGCTTCGCTCTGGTGTTCTCGCGACCCAAAGCCGGTACCACAATTCAGTTGAGAGCCTCGACCAGCTACGCTCGAAGGTGAGTTTTAGTATTCGAAACAACAATCGTAGACTCAGGAAATCGCGGGGAAAAAATCCACGCGAAAGCGAACTCCATTCCGATGTGCCGCAGGATGCCGGCTGAGGAGGAGCGCCTCGCTCAATGTGCGGCGTTTGACGGCTAGACTTATCCGCAGCTGGCTGGCGGAGTAGCGAGCGAGCTGACATCCATGGGAGCTAGGCCTAAAGAATTTTTTTGGGCGTGAACGTATCGTTGCTTCCGCGAGCTGCACACATCAGCGAAGAGCTGAATTTACGCACTATCACCTCCAGCTGGTTCTGGTTCCGAGAGAAATTTTCCGACGAGTTGAAAAAATCTCGCAGGTCGCTATTTTATAAATAACCCGACAAGAAAATGGAGGTCGGCCGGGACTAGTCTCGCTACTACTCACAATGCTCAAGCTTGCTGTAACAACGCCAGCATTATAACAGGAAGTCTGGGAAAAATTCTGTTATTTTTTTCGATCGCATAGGTAAATTTTCCGTCAGAGATTCGATTGACAATCGATTTTTTTCGTGGGTTTTCCAATGTTTCCCGCGCGTTTCGCCGAATCTCGAGAAAATTTGCCATGACCGCGTCAGAGGTCAAACGCACCCCGGTCCAAGTACGGAAGACACAGGAGAACGTATTCGATCGGGAAACCTCATGTAGAAAAATCGCCTGCGCTCTCAAACCGAGTTTTGCGAAGCGCGCTTCGAGTTTAGCTAAGCTGTGTTTGGCTTCGGCGACCGTTGGCGCTTCTCGTGGTGGTGGTGCTGCTGCTGCTTCTGCAACAGCGAGCGCCGCTTCTTCTCCCTTCAAGCAAGCAAGCATACATATAGGCAGTCAGGCATTCGTGCAGGCTTTGGAGAGCGGACCTCTTCCATAATGGGTCCGATATCTGGGACGACGCTTACGCTTTGCTGTGGGAATGGAAAATCTCACATATAATGTCGTTCCAATTCTTTGGAATCCCCGAATTTGAGGAGTTTTCCCAACCTCGATAGGGTACTTTTCCTCTCGACCCCAATTCGTCGGAGGAGTCATGAGTACATATCGAAGATTCCCATTCCTCGGAAGATTTCGAGCCCGTTATCGGAGGCGTTCCATTCCTCAAATTTCGATTTTCGTCCTCAGATGTCTGATTCCGAAGTGCAGGAGAAGAAGAGCCGTGGTAGGCCCAAGAAGACCGAGGGAGAGAAAACCGCCTCCCCGGCCGTGAAAAAGAGCAAGGTAAGGAGTTCATACGATGCCCATCAAAAAATATAGTCCGAAAGAACTGAGACCTCGCATTCCTCTTTATCCCCTTACGTGCATGTTCAAGAGAATTTCGGAGACTTATCAGTGGAACGTCTAACAAGAGATTTTCGCCCCTATAGGTTGCTGCTGAAAGCAGCGCCAAGCGTGGCCGCGGCCGCCCGAAGGGCTCGATCTCAAAGAAGAAGAAGGCTTCCCCCAAGAAGGCTGCTGCAGCGGGCAAGAAGCGAGGACGCAAACCGAAGGCCGCCAAAGAAGAGTCCGACAACGCTGAAGACAACGACGAGTAAACTACGGATTTAGCTGCTGCTGTACCCAAACCATGATGAAGCAAGCCAGCCATCCAACCAAGTCCGCACGGTCAGCATGGAGAAATTTACCATGGTGGCCGTCGGTTGTATAAATATCAGTCGTGATCCAGAATTGACGGACCGCAGAACCATTCAATGACGATACCATTGTATTCCATTAATCAACTTTCACGCCAACTCGATACAACACTATTTGTACGCTAATTACACAATTGGACTAGCAGCGTGCTCTCATTTGAATAAATCTCATCTACTCCAAAGAACAAAAGCGTAATTTTTCGAGTCCGAGGACGCTCGCGGCCGACCTGGCTCCCGCGTATCTCGATGCTTAGTTCCTCCTTTTCTCCTGGTCGTCAGATTGTCCTGTTTCGCCCTTTCAGTTCCTCCGCTTCCTTTTGCTCCTTCATTTCTTCTGCTGTCTTCGACTTCTTTCCCCCCCCCCCTGTGAGGTGTCTCTCGACCCCCTCGCCTGTCGCATCTTCCATTCCTCGATGCCCAACTTCATCAATCCTCTACGGAACGCACGTCATGGAGGTCTCCTTAAGAACCTGATCGCTCTAGCCTTGTCGATCTCGACAGCGGTTTAAGGCAGAGAGAATGCGCAAGCTATATAGCATCGTCGTCTAGGCTTGACGCGTTTTCGAGCCGAGGAGCGATCAGGTGGTCGGACTGGTTCTTCGGGCGGAATAATGATGCAAGGCGGAGAATCGCACATACTTCTCGTCGCAGCTTCTCACTCCGTACCCCATAGCACTCGAGCGTAGATTCCACCATCGAGCTTGACTACTCTCCGTGCCTCTTCGTATTCCCAACAACGATACTTCGAGGCATGAAGTTGAAATTCATGCATGATTATTATTCGTCGAAAATCGAGGGGCCATTCGAGGATTCTCTCTGCGTCGATATTCGCGAAGCCATCCGAGGCCGAGGAAAGCCAACGATCCCGCTCTATACTCACTCTTACACGCCGGGAGGCTGCGACAAGTTCAAACATCCCGGCTTGGAGCGAGCGAGCGAGCGAGCTTCGCTAGAAGCGACGCACCGTACGAGTTTATTCAACCAAATATAGAGCTTAGGAATCCAGAAACCCCATCGGTCGCGGAACCCTGCCCAGGCTCATCAACGAACCGGATGGTTCCCCTGAAACCCCCCGGATAGCCAGAATACTTCGGTGTGGCGATTATAATCATGTCCTTCGTCGACGAGGTGATGTTTCTCTTCTCGAGATCGTTTGAGCAGAACCTGCGGAAATTGACTCAAGTTTGACGAATTCTAGCTCCCGCGTCAGGCGCGCGTCGGCGCTCTGGATGATAGCTACACGATAGCCGGGAATCAGGGCGGACTTTCCGTTGTTTCAAAGGGACAAATTGAGACTTGCATTCTTCCCTCGAAGAGATTAGACGTGCGGATCTCGACTCTTTCTCTCGGGCACTTCAAGCCAGAAAGAGGATTGCGGGGACTGATCCTTCGTCCTTGGAAGCTGAAGTCCGTGAACTCAATCTGAGGATATTTCCCGTTAGGGGCCTGCAAACAAAAAATCGGTTTACTCGGATTGCGGTCTCAAAGATGAAGTCCAAGAGAAATGAGAGGCACAGCCATATATGTTTCGGGCGGATTCTCGAAAGTCTTAGAATCCGGCATCCGTACCTGGATCCAGAATACGCAACCGCCGTCAGGGAATGTCGTGTACGGAGCATTCGGAGTCTGAATCGTTCCCTCGGATGTGATATTCCCTCCGCACTTTGGATAATCTGAGGAATCATGTCGGACTCATAAAATTTCCCTTTACGAAGACTCTCTCGATCATGATGAACGGTGCCTGACTAACGATATTCACCGTAGTAGCTCCGTTCGAGACGTAATTCACAACGATCTCCGGTTGCGTTCGGAGGACAAACGCAGCTGCAATTTCCGTTTTCTCCGAAGCGCTGGAAGAGGTAACCCTCATTCTCGCAGGTCAAACTCTCCCGGTTGGGACACTTCTCTGTAAGAGAGAGCATGTCATCGAGACCGATGCCGACCTGAAACCGGGTCCCACGAGCGCGCCCGTCGTTCCTGAGCAGTGCTGTGCGCCGTGTCCAGGACGCGGCGTGCGGTGCCATAGACTCAGTCCTTAAGCGCCATGGCGCGCCTCGGCGCTTCAGCATTGTGTCTATGGGACTTGCAATTCTCGGCGCACAGCTCTGTTCCTGATTGATGTTGGTCAAAAGGGAGGTCCAAACCTTCGCATCGGTACATAGCATTGGCCATTTTCCGATCGCGGAAAGACAGCTCCGAATTCCCGAGTGATAATTGTAGGAAAGGATCGAGAGTCACAATCGTATTCCTCTCAGCATCCGATTGGAATGCCTGCAATGAAGACAAGAGCTTCGCAGAGCGCACGACAACTTTTGATGAGAGATCCGATTCTCTGCGTGATACCTTCGATTTCGACGTACCCATTCTTGGTACTGCATCACGGACGAGTAGTCATAAGGCACTCCTTTGGGGTTGTCCGATGCCATCGTGAACTGATTGACCATGTTCGGTCTGACATTTTTCCAGAGGATTCTTATAAAATTATCGCGATCGCTGCGAGATTGCTCATGGAAGAATCCGATCGCATGCCCGAGCTCGTGGATCGCGGTTCCTTGCTGCGGCGATAAGCGTCAGCTGAGAAGGCGGTAGCTTATTGCAAGATCAGAGATCAAATGAAACGTTTGATAGAAACTCTTTCGACTCACACTGACACAACCCCGGCCGAGGTTAAGATCCTGACCGAGGATGCTCTGCATACGGCCCACCATCGAATAACAGCTGTAAGGGAATGTGTTATGGAGATTACAATAGATTTCTAGAAGGAGTCGGGTGCTCGGTCTCGTAATCGAATACCTCCATCGGGCCGCTCACAAGTAGCTCGAAATTACCCCGAACGATCGCCGCGAAAGTTTATGTAGTGCGACATTTGGAAGAATCCCGCAGGTTCAAATTTGAGACAGGTGTTGTCTTCCCAGTGCCTCATGGACTCTTTCAACACTCGACGATGACGGCTCGTCAGACCTGGAAGAAGTGTGCCTTGGGAGCTCCAGTATAAGCACCACATATGTACTCCAATTGCGTCAGAATGGTGACTTGGGGTAAGCGTGGAGGGAGGTGACCTACTGCGTCGTGTCAGCCCTGTCCAACAGGTCGTTCGCTACGTGAAAAGCTTTCACTGAAAGACTGAAGGCTTCGCGGGAAACAGATGGCCAACGGCAGGTCGGCTTGCCAACTCAAATGCTGGCCAGCCGGAACGGTCTCGGCCGGTGGAAATTCATTCGACCCGAGCGTCGAAGCACTGAGTGTCTGATCGCCGGAGCTGATCAAATCCTAGGCACAGAAGGGCTGATTGATGCCGCGGGCGAACTCCAAAGCGGTTCCTCCTCCGGAGCTGGGTGCGCCGTACCTGATTCTGGGGTGAACCAGACAGCCAATGATCTGGGCATCACCATGGGCTCTGCTCCTGTCGACGGATCCCTCAGGGCAGAGTTCCTTTGATTTGTGCCGCCAATCGTGAATTTTCCTGAGACAGCTGTAGTCGGACCTCACCTTGTTCAAGGGTTCCTGCGGAACTGGCACTGATCACTCCAGAAATAAGCCGGGTCGGCACTCAACCCCATATTTTGCTCTTTCCCGGAAGGCGTCTTCCTTCTGTCCGCGCATCGTGTGGTGCTCGAGTTCCCTATGAAGTCGGCAGCCCACGTGCCGCGAGTGGCGACTCCTTGACTGCGTCGTGATTTTCTAAAGCAGTAAGTATGCTTCGATGCCCCTCTTCGCTGATGCCAGGGGCGGACACCACCCGCCTTGCTCGTCGAGACGCTACAGAACGGAATGAGGAGTGCTCCATGAGCAGCAAGCGTGTAAGGGCTTGGACGTACTCCCCCCAAGTCCAGCACCGGGGAGTCTGCTGAGATCATGGGCGAGAAAACCGACGTAGAGATCATAAGTCACAAGAATCATTTTTCCACCTAGATCGATCACGCGACACATTCTAGGGGCAGACTCCTGGCGGGTTGCCCATCCGAAAAGGTCTTCGATGTTTCCAGCCGAAATCATCGACATGGAAAATTCGGGAGGACAGGAGCGCTCCACACGTGAGAAAGTCTGCTGGTGTACTGATGCCACTCGACGGGCCATTCCGGAATATTTCGCCAGCATTCTGGAGAATCCGCCGGATCGATTTCTTTCTGCCGTCCGACAATATTGGCTATCAGTAGCGGTTTTCCGCGGGAGACTCCGAGAGAAGGAACAGCATAGGCGGAATCCTGCTCAGAGCGCCCGGAAGGATGATGATCTACTCTCTACTCGAAGCCCTCAATTTAACCGCAGGAAATGATCTCCCTACATGACAGGTTTCTACCTAGGCGAGCAGTCAAGAAATCTCGTCCTCTGTCAGCTCAGCTGCTTACCTGGACCAAACCAGTAGGAGACGACTCCGTTAGGCCAACGACGCATCCGCTGAGTTAGAGAATCGAAATTAATTCCCTTCCTTGTGAAAGTCTCATTCAAGGGCACCACGATGTCTCCATCGAGAGTCACGAGCCCGAGATCAGTCAAATCTGGTATTTCGAAGGGTCGGTCAAACGGGTCGTCTTCCTCGAACTCGTCAGAGTCTTCCGTGATGTTCATTGACTTGCTCAGCTGAAAGAACTTTTGATTTTATGTGGGCATGAGATTCAATGATTGTCGCCCCCTGACGTATCTTGGTTCACCCCCCCCCCCGAATATTGATGATCGTCAAGAAAACCAGAGTTTCTGTGTGTTTGGAGGCGGGATAAAAGGCTTTTACTTCCGGGAGGGAGAATCGGAATGCCTCTAACACTCTAAACTGTTAGTGTGATAGCGAGCCGGATTCGAGGCGCTCATCAGAAAGTTTCTCTCAATGCAGATGCCGGGGGAACTTACCGCAAGCCCACCGACGACGTAAAAAAGCACTTCCGTTCTGCATCTCATCTCGAACACTTCTGTTCTCGCTCCTCCCCAGCAGACTCTATGTGACTTCCCGGGAACCCTTAACGTTGACCCTCATGGCCAAAAATCAAGATATATGCGGGTTGTTCATATGAGACCCTTGTTTTTGTTCGAGCAGGTCTATCGAGTGATACTGACTAGCGGAACAGAATCGTGCATCTGGTTCCCGCAGTGAACGGAAAATCACCGTCCATCATGTAGGGACGATTCCCATACTTCGAACGTCGGAACACCCCCACCCCGAATACTGAGAAATTGGTATTCATGGAACCGCGACGAAATCACACTGAGGAAATAATGTCGCAATCAAGTGCTCTACAAATTCATCATACACGTGGTGCACCGTCAAAATCGGCTCCTCCAGAGATACGAGAAGCCGGTCATGTAGACTTGCGATGGGAATATTTGGCCATCATCCATCGAAAATAAGCATGAATGGAGGCTCAAGTAGATACCCAGAACCCTCCTCCGCTACACATGTCACGACTTTTCGAGCGAATGACAGCCGAAAAAGCTTCGTCTTGGGGGAAAGAAACAGAATCAATGGACCATTGCGCGAATTCGTGTTTACTATATTAATGTCCTGGAAATATCTATGTCAAGTATCTTCAGTCTTCCCGTGAAGTTGGGAGACTCGTCCGGTCTTCTCTGAATCGAGGGAGACGGCTAGCTCAGCCGAAAATTTTCTCGAAGAGCCCGGGTCCCTCGGTGGTGCTTGCTACCTCTGGCTCATCGATGAAATGAACTTGTGCTATGAAACCTCCAGGGATGCCCGAATACTTGGGGCTGGCGATGATGATTATATCCCTTCCCGAAGAAGTCACATTCCTCTTATGGAGATCATCCGAGCAGTACCTGTTGCGTGGAGAAATTCATTAGGAGCATACGACACAACAACCCCCAAAGTATGTCGACGAGCGCGACATGTCCCTTGCTCCAGATGGAGCCGGGATCGTCGCGGACAAGTTTGAAGGATTCGAAGAGTATTCAGCTCACATATTGCCTTCGTAGAGACTCCTTGTCCGGATCTCGACTTTTTCGCGCGAGCATTTCAATTCTTTCCTCCATGGATAGACCGATTCGTTGTGACGATCTTCGAACTTGAAATGGCGAAACTCGACGGTGGGAAGCTTTCCCTCCGGTGCCTGCAACCGGGACGTGGTGTCTTGATCAGTTCGGGAATCAGAGAGCCCCTAGCTACATCTCTCAATTCTTCCCCATACGTGTATCTATTCGGCGCGACGCCAGTCGATGAGCATACCTGAATCCAGAAGACGCAGCCGCCGTCGGCGAAAACAGTTTTCGGAGCGTTCGGGGTCTGTATCAGTTCCTCGGACGTGATGTTCCCGCCACATTTCGGATATTCTGTCGATGAAACAGGCAAACTGAATTCCTCCAAATCTTCCTGCTCGACTAGAGCGATATGAAGCGCAGCATGTCATCCCATCGCTGACCGTAATATTCGCGATCAAGCAGTTCTTCGCATCTTTCCCCAGATGTGTTCGGAGGACAAACGCAGCTACAGTTCCCGGTCTGATTGTATCGCTGGAAAAGGAAGCCGTCGTTCTCGCACCTCAAGGTTCTCCGATTTGGACATTTCGCTGGAATGGAAGTTGGTTCACTTAGGGGGAATCGAGGACGTCGAACTCAATTCACACTCTCGGAATTCGTCGAAGGTGTTACTGTTCTGATCAGCTGTCCGTACCATCACAATCATACATTAGGTTGGCCAATCTCCGATCGCGGAAAGACAACACCTGATTTCCGAGAGATAATTGCAGAAATGGGTTGAGGGTCACAATTGTGTTCTTCTCGGAATCTGCTTGGAACGCCTGGATACAAGATTCCCCGGGTCATCCGAGTTGTGTCTCGCGACACGAAATCTAGTGCGCCGCTCCGGAGAATAATAATCGGGACCTCTAACGTACCCATTCCGGATACTGCATGATTGAAGAGTAGTCGTACACAACCCCTCGAGGATCGTCTCTGGCTTGCCTGAACTGCGGAATCATCCGCGGTTTCAAGTTTCTCCACAAAATCTTTATGAAATTATCGCGATCGCTCCGGGATTGCTCGTGGAAGAACCCAATGGCGTGTCCAATCTCATGGATGGCGGTCGAACGCTGCGGCGGAACGATAGCCGAAACTGATTGTGAGCAATTCAATGCCGCGACATATTTGTAACTACGCTGTCAATGCTCGAGAGCTTACGCTGACGCAACCTGAGCCGAGATTGATATCTTGGCGGAGTAGTCGACGACCGAGGGACGAGAAGCAGCTGGAAGATAGACGCTTAAGAGTTATTCGAGCGAGCATTTCCCCTAGACGAAAATTAGACGATTCGGGGCGACGACGATATCGATTCGGAATGCAAAAATCATCTACCCTTCGAGATCGCCGCGGAAGTGGATGTATTGGAATAGTTGATAGGGGCCAGCAACTTCGAAGTGCAGACACGTATTTTCCTCCCAGTGCTTAATGGCACCTCTGATCACCTGGATGTGTCGACCTGTCAAATCTGTAATGAATCGAGAGCTCATTCTTCCTCCGAACTCCACGGCCTGCCCATATCGATCGAACCAGCTCGCATCGTGATTCAGCACATTTACATTGCTGAGTATGCCCGGACTCCGAGGGACAGAACCTCATTCTAGAAACTGGGATTCTTGGGTCGGGCCGACATGACTGGGTTGATTGCCTCAGACCGTATTAGGATTCGCAGCCGGTGCTTGAAGCATCCGGAGAGCGCTCGACCGATTACGGCCGCAGCCGCAAAGCTGGAAGCTTCTGAGAAGAGTTCAGAAAGAGTCAGCGACGGAGACGACCCCACCGAGTACGAGGAGACCGCGTAGGCCTCGCAATATTCCGCCGAGGTTTCGTGTGGGGACCGCCACAAGGGACCCCATGGATTGGTGCCCCCCGACACAGGTTCCCTTCGCCACCCTCATCTCGGGTTAGCACAGAGAAAAAGCGAGCGTTCTCGCCGCTCTCTAGTTCTTGCGTCCCTGTCTCCCCGGCAGGAATGACGGAATCACGCCCGCAAGAAGCGCGAGACGCTGCTCCTCGATGGCATTGGGGCGACGCCGTCGCATCGTGAAGAATTCCATCGTTTTGAGGCGGATTCGGCGCTCGAGTCGAAGGCTTCGAGCAGCGCAGAGAACTGGGGCTGCGAAACCAAACCACAAGTCTCAGCAAGCTCATGGGAATCAACGTCCCGATTGTACAGCTACGTGATCGATTTCGAAAGCACGACTTGTAGAAGTCGCGGGATGCGTCTAACGACGTTATAAACTGCCGAATATTTTGGTGCAGTGGCACGCTTCGCGTTTTTGAGAACAGCATTCATCGGGTGATAAATTCCTCGATATTGCACTCCTTCACGCAACGCTACTCACCTCCAGGGAGCCAATAATGTACAGTTCCATTCGTCCATCTCGCGCTTCCGAATACCTCGTCGAAATCCATTCCCTTCCGCGCATGAATTCCCTCCGGATCTTCGCGGTCTAAGACAATGTCGCCCTCTAAGATCTCGTACTCGCTTTCGTTCACTTTCGGTATTATATACGGCCGGTAGTAGGGGTTATCTTCTTCGTACAATGCGGACTCGTCCGTGTCGTTGGTGACATTCATGGCTGAACTCGACTGGAAACATTAAGAATTTCGAGGACGCTTGATTTCAGTGTAAGAGATAAGCATTTCAATCGACTGGTATATTATCTTCAGAGTTCACCGATAGATTCGTCTCCTAACTCACAGGTAGGGCATATAAGAAGCAAAACAGTATTCCTGGGAAGAGCGTCATGCTGCCGAGCTGTTTCGGGGTATATCCAGGAATTAGATACTTCGCCCGTTAAGGGAGATCAGCATAGAGTGAGCCTGATACCTCAAAGCGATTTCAGGATATGTGTCGATGGATGTCGTCCATGATGCCATGGTGAGGATTTTGATACTTCTTCCGTAGGATACTCGGCCCCGGTCTGAGTACTCATCTCTCCAAGGTCTCCATTCTTAACGGTAATTCACCGATCCGCGTGGTGGGGATCGCACTGAATCAGTATAGCTCCGGATTTCCTTCTAGGCTCTCACCTTTTAATGTAAAGATGCTTTCTCAGACGACGGCTACTAAACTGTCTCAATGAAGGGCTCCTGCTAGTCGGTTCCTTTTTTCGAGATAAATCGGCTGCAGCTCCTCGACAACGCATCCCGAGATATCCGGGTCATTCCATGTTTCCCGCCGAGCGGGAGCCATGAATGAATGGAGTGCGATTCATCATCGGGTAACTATGGAACTGATTCTGGAAGGATCAGGGAGGATCAGGAAGAAGCATTCCCCTGCTTATGAATCTCCTTTACATAACTATCTCCGCTCATCGGGAGCCCAGTCCCGGATGGGCACGGAGTCCAAGGGCGGACTGAAGGTCAGCCAGAGGATCAGCGCCCAATCCGCGTCAAGACAGGAACGTCGAGTCACCTCGAGAAACTTCGCACTTGGAGAACCCTTGACGAGAGGAGCTTGCGCTTCAAAATTCGTAACCCATTCATTTGTATGATTCGCGGTCTTTCTCGATGGTTTCGACCTCGACAAAGATCTCATCTTCGGCTGGCGCGGGAGCGTGAGCGCCTCTGGAGACCTCATAACATCTTTCTTACTCGTCATCTTATCCGGATACCAAGGGGAACTCCAGGCTTGAGAGCATGGGGGAATGGGATACGATCGTGTATTCTTTTGTGTAGTGCCATGCCAGAGCTGTCTCGGAAGCTCAGTTCACAACATTTTCCGCGTTCAAACAGTATGGATTGGTGAAGCATCCGAAGATCTTTGCGCTCAGCCGCGGAATTCGCGGTCGTCAGCGAATCCGATTGTGGGCTGCCCGAAGGAAGGACGTCCGGCTGTCCCGAGCATAAACAGTCGAGGGCATCGGACACTTTCGTCGGCGAGTCACTACACGGAAGTTACCCTGCTCGCGTCAGAACAGAATACCTCAAGGGCGAGATGCCTCTGAGACCACGATGTGATCTATATCCGAATATTCCGATGCTCGGTACTAAGGGCCCAGTCCGATGACGACGATTGAACTCGAAGTCTTGTAGCACCGGGCGACAGCTGATCTGGCTGATCAATGCTGCGAGGCCATGTCTCGCGGATACTCTTGTAAGACACGAGTCCTCGATAGCCCGACGACTTCTTGACGGCAAGTCAGAGTCACTTGTGCGGCTCGTCGCGATCCGTCTCCAAGGGTTGGTGGCGAGGACATCTTGGAAATCATTGGTCCCCAATGCCCCCCGCCATCACTCGTGATACGCGTCTGATCAGGGCTCCGGAGATAATAGAGACATCTATTAGGTTATCCTCAGGTGCGCTCTATCAGACTGGAAGATCGATAAGTTTGAAGCTGTATGCATTTCATGCATATCCGATGAGCGCGGGCAACCCTCGGTTGCCTTCTGGACGTTTCTGAATGTCGACATTCTAGCTCTATATCGTTAGCTTTCTCTGATTGGGTAGAGTATCCCGGAGTCCATCACAGAACATAGCCTGTCCGGAGAGAGCTCGGGATTACAGTGGCCTTTGAGCGGAATTCATGAAGACTTCGGCAAATCATTAGGATATTAGCTCGTAGGCGGAGAGATGCCGAATATTCCGGTGCCGTGAATGTGGGGCATAACATATGTCCGGCGATATCACTTGGCGGATGAGAAAGAGACATATGAAAAGATGTTCCAAGATGCCAGGAATTCGAGAGTCGAACGCACGACCTTGCTGTCAGCATGAATTCATAGATCAGTTTTTTCACATCGAATCCTGTCTGTAAGGATGCGGATGAGACCCGGCGGAGAAGTACGTCGCCGGAAGATTTCCGCTCGTTGCTCGAGACTTCCGAATGCGCGACTTTGTTTCCATTCGGAAAAGAGCGAGAATCGAATGCGCCTAGGTTCGATTGGGTATCGTACCATCTTCGAGTTTCGAGAATTGTGAACCTCGAGTGATGAATTTGATGTGGTGATCGACGTAGAGCCAGAATGAGCACAGGGTCTGATGCGCTGCTCATACAGACGTCGGAGAAGTTGAGGAACTCCACTTTTACTTACCCTTATCGAGGAAACAATTCAGCCTTCCGGCTTCGAAAGCGACCGGCGAGTTTGGAGCGGATTTCACTGCAATATGTTCTCGATGCACGTTTTGAATTTGTGCGCTTTTGGAGGAAGTATTGCCCACCGTGACGCCAAATCGTGACGTGTTAGCGAATATCAGTGTCAAGGTGCCTATCGTGGCAGATATATTTTGATATGCATAAATACAAGGGAGTCCATTATTTTGCGTTCCCCGGAGTTACTATTCCGGGAGAGAGCGCGAATCAGCAGGACGTATGCTTTGAAGGTTCTGGGAGTTTTGGCACTCAGCATCATCCTGAGATCCCATATGTCGGTCAATCACCGCAGTGCATTCGATTCCGGTCGACACTACGACTTGAGCGCAGGGCCGCAGCGAGAAATTCTGGGCCCGGGGGGAAATTCGGAAGTGGGCCCCTCTTCATCACGGTCTGTAATCTGTTACTGGAAAAAATATGCAACGAACGCATCACTTTCAGTTTCCTTTCCATGCATCTTTTGAAAAGGGGGGATTTAGGACGAAAACAAAATTATTAGACCAAAGCCTGAGCCAGGGGCCCCTCCGGAAACTCTGGGCCCGGGGAAAAGAGTCCCGGTACCCCCCTCTCGTCGGGCCTGCTTGAGCGGAATTGTTCTTGCTTGTTGATGCAGTTGTGACTGGAGAATCGCTTCCCCAACAGAGAACCGAGACGGGGAACGGTTGGTTCGGCCGAGGATTCCAGAGGAGGAAGAGTTGACGACCGCGTGTTATAGAGAGTCTCGGTCCCGAGACCTCTCCCCCTTACCGCTACACTGAAGGAGACTTCCGATACGAACTCCGAAGTGGTGTGGCTCCGTCAGAAACGGCATTCCCTGTCATGAGGCCCATGAGTTGAAGAAACACGTTATTGGGTCTCAATATATACATGGAACGAATTAGCTGACCGCGAAAAGTAAATCATCGGGACTGTGAGTATAGGTCGTTCCATGGAGCGGTTCCCTATTCTTAAGGCACGCAAAAACAACGGGAATCCGAAACCCTTCCTGTAGCTTGCGAAGATTTCTGGAGCCAGACCCCCAGAATCCGCAGTCAGCCAGAAATCCTCTGATTCGAGCTTGAAGAATGATTGCGATAATCGCTTCGAGTCACGCAAGACCAGTCCGGAAAACTTGACGTGGAAAGCCACAATGAACTATTCCCATATCATTAGCTGTGATCGCGCCTGTGAAGTCGGCTCGGAAGAATTCCCGTCCGGCTTTCCAACACAGACTCGGATGAGCGTTTCCCGAAGAATCCCTTGGAGTCTATTGAGTTCACGTCCCGCGAACATCGGAGTCCTCTCAACTTCAACACCCCGGTAGCGCTCAATGTGGATCTTGGAGCCAAGTCTTTCGCCTACAGAGCTCGATGCTCAAATAATCTCCCGACATCAATGCGATTCCCGGCGTCCTCAAGACGAGAATGGAAGGCAACTGACTGGCTACATCAATGTGTCTCAAGTTGGAGAGGGGAAGTTTTTGGTGTCCTTGCTAGATGGGCGAGTCAGAAAACAATTATTGCGCTGTAAATTTGAGCTCATGCAAAATCAACAGCGACAGCGAGAAGACTAAACGCGAGCGAGGTCACAGTGTGAAAAAAGTTCCCAGATATTTTGCTTTGAATATTCAACTCTCAATTATATTGCGAAGGGAAACTGGTTCAGACAGAAGTTGAAGTGCATCGAGGTCCGTTTCAGAAATTAACCGCGTCAACTCCAGCGTCGAGTTTTCATCCAAATCTTTCTGTGTCCGAATCAACGGCCGCACCACCAGCTTCTTTCACCTTCGCACGATTTAAACCTCCTTACGAGTGATCGTTCTATGTACTGGCGATCTTTTCCCAAGTGTTCATAATATTGAGATCCACGTGGTGCGCGCTAACCCCCAGCCTCTGTAATCCAGCCTTCGGGTCTAGGATCCCACACGTGGAGGCATTACATGAAGGGTTCCTGGACACGTGATGTCCTAGAAGAAAGACGTGTGTGGTGAATGAAATTCGAGCTCCGGCAGAATGTAATGTTCTAGGTGAATATGATTCTCAGCTGACCTGAAATTGAGCAGTGAGCGTCGCGGGCTTCTGCAATGTTCTTATCCTCGGATGACTAATGGTTATGTGTTCATTCAAGCAACCGGCTCACTCATGTCTCTGATTGTTTGCTATCGTGCGCTACGACCAAGTGATCGGCCCGATCGGCATCCGTCTGAAATTTAGCAAAAATTATCTCTCAAGCCACCAGATATGTTCAAAGAGCCCCTATGCCGATTTGGATGATGTCTTTTTATGACTCCGAATCTTGGGAGCGTCTACGAGTGTTATCTCAGCATGCCGTCGACATGCAGACTGATGCATTCCATAGTGAGCTCATGAGAGAGAATTCCGCGCTCGCAGTCAAGGCACGCGATCGCGGACTGACCTGTTCCCTGTGCGTGTGTCACCTTCCGGCGCGGCGTACAGAGTTCACAATCTTCCAATTGAAGAAGCTGAACGGGGAAATTTCGCTGGCGAGGCTCGAGAAAATGTTCCTCCCGCGGCAGAACCCCGACAGCAACAATACCGCCGACGAGAATCTTTGTCAGTTGAGCTCTGAAACCCAAGAACTCAATAGAAGGAGCGGACCGCCGTGTGATTATCAGAAGCGGCGACCTTCGCACTGAGCTTCGATTGTCAACGGTTCTATTCATATTTCATTGTTTTTATCTCAGCCCTTCAGAAAACCAGGCGCGGGGTTCTTTTTTGTGCCGAAACATAATTTCTCAACGCAAAACTCCCACCACTTTCACTTTCCTACAACTGGCTTTAAAAGCCCTGGAGCGGTCAGCTTGCGTCAATCGCACCAATCATGCTCGCCAAGGTAAGTTTCCAAGCACGCGTACGAAATCCGCCATTCCCCCACAGAAAATGATTTCAAGTGCCTTGATTCGCTAGAACTCGATATATCGAAAGAATTGGTGTTCAGAAGCTCCCCGTCGCATGTCCTCGATCGAGCTCTTCCGCGATCGATCACGGCATCGACTCAGGAATTGCACGACGAGTTCTTCGTTGACATTCGTTAAGTTATGCCTAACGTTGAGTTTTATCTTCACAGATCTTTGTCCTCTTCGCTCTCGTCGCGGCGGCCTTGGCTGGACACGGCCACGTACTGCGGAGTGACCACGGTGTCCAATACCAATACGACAACCAGAAAACCGGTCACGGCTGGGCCTACCCGTCTCACTTCATCGTGCCGTCTGGTTCCTACAAGTTCGTTGGTGGATACGGCGGCGGCCACTACGGTGGATACGGCGGACTTTACTAAACGCTAGCTAACGAAAGGATCGGAGGAAGCCGCAACTGATCAGCTGGTGGCTTCAAGTAAATAAATTCTGTACATGTATAGCGCGTCTCTTGAGACCGTAGAACTGATTCGTGTAATTAGAAAGTGCGGGCGATGGGGGCGACGAGACCGATGAGGTGATGAGTGGAAGACTGACGTATCCTGCTTTTCACGCCGACTCGGCATGACAAGTGAGATCGGCTCGAAGCGACCGGATATTCGCTGGTGCGGCGGATATCGGTCGCATGGTTGTTGCTGAGCTCCGGTATAACACAGCGTATTTCCGTCCGGAGTTGTCGACACTCCGATGAGCTGCATAAGCTCCGCGACTGTGATGATGGCCAATTTCGGTGTCACTCATACCACCGCTCATCGGCTAACGAGGCCCCTCCCGGAGGCTCTGCAATCACACTTAGCCAACAGCTTATAGTAAATGGATTACAGACACACATGATGCACTCAGACCCAGATACACACACACATTCTGAACGTTGGTGACGTTATGGATCATCGACAAAATCTGCGCATCGTTGTTGGTTTCGTTTTTTTTCTCTTCGCTATGCTGATCATTTCCTTGAGTCCGCGTTACGTTCGTTGCTCATGCCGATATGTCATACGGATGATGGATTCGCCTCCATTCCCGCGGCAGCGAACTTCAATCCGCGGGACTTCCATTGACTGTGAACACTGATTCGGAATTCCTTTCGTAACTCGCTCAGACGCCAGAACCCAGACCTACTGAGAATCCTCGCTCAATCTCGGACGCGAGATGAGCATTTCGTTTCCGCACGCTTCCTCCATGGACTCACCTGAGTCATGGACAATGCGATAGGACCATCCCAGGCAGTCGGTTCCAGCATTAATTTCACCGTCTCGGCCGACTCAGTGAATAATGAATATTGTATCTTATTGCATCGAGGGGGACTGTTCGTACATACATGGTTTGTACGAAGCTCTCCGGCAAGTTAATCACCGAGAAATTCCATTCGACTCGACTTCGCAGACGATACCTTTCTCCGATACTTCTTCGTACGTATCGTGTCAACTAATGGCAGTTCGCAAACCGAGTCAAGATGAGATAGACGATAGGTGTGTGCTCGAGCAAAAAGTTACTGTCGTCCCTGTGGACAATGTGTGAGAGTCTGGCGTTAATTTTCGCGCGATGAAGAATGGTTTCAGAAGCTTATGGCTACGGTAATTCTCATGAAATGCCGATTACGCGTCTTGTTTGCTGGCGCGGTCCCTTCCTAGCATCGCCCTTCGGTGTGAATTTGACGACGAGAGTCCACGACGATCGGTATCAGAGCAAATAAATAGCCAGTCCTACAATGGGACCACTCCCCCCTACCGTCGTGATTGCTGCATCATTCTCCATGAGAATTTTCAAAGCTCTGACTCGATTGGACAAGCGCAACGATGGGAGCCCAGTTCCCTGTCGCAGAATTCTCGATCAGATTTATTAATGCGACCGAATAGACGTGCCTTGTCAGTGACAGACCAATCTATCGAGTGTGAGTTCGGCTCGAACAGATGTAAAATTGAGATCTTTCTCCTCATAACGACCGGAAGGTCTGGTGAGCCGTGCGCTTTGAGATATGTATTTATCGAGGAGCTCACCGAATTCCGTTCCTCTCGCTTGTTATGAGCCGCTCCCACCAACTCTCGAGATTCCCCATCATTGAATCTACCTATTGTTAGTTCCGAATTTTTCCCCCGCAGACTGCTCTGACCCCGGATCTTCCACGGCTGGAAACTCGAGATCAGGATCATGAAGCTCGAAGGTGCTGTAGTCGTTGCGTGGTGTTTCCTCGGGATTTCCGCGAGAGGTATGTAGTGACGAATATCGTATTTCATTTGGTTCCTCGCGGTCCTGTGAGTCCTTCCATTATGATGTCCTTTGTTCCCCCAGTCAATGCTGCCTCAATGTCATCGAGCGTGTCCTTCGTCTCCAGCGGAACCCATTCTGTGAAGCCCCCCCAGCCGGTTCCACTACCGCTTCCAAATCCGGCTCCGGTTCCGGTCCAGACTCCAGTTCCAGTCCAGACTCCAGTTCCAGTCTCTCCGGTCTCCCCTTTGCTCGTGATATTCACACGAATCTACTCGCTCGTCATGGCGTACCTCAACACAGTATTCAACCTCCTAGGGCTGCCTCTGCTGGCTTCCTCTTCGACGACTACATCTTCAGTAGCGGGAATGGCGAGCCTCGCTTCAGTTTCCCAAGCATTTCTGAGAAGCATGCTAGGCTCTCTTAGACCGGCCCCGACGACGACTCTCTCGGGAACCACTCTATACCCAATCCAATCTCAACAGACCCAAGCAGTGTCGAGTCTGGGTTCGCCGATAGTGAATTCTGCGACTTCAACTTTGTCGAATCCGTTTTCGACAAGTACATCCCGATTGGGCGGAGTTGTGGATGTATCCTCTGTCGGCACCTCCAGCAGCGGCGTGCTGCAAGTGATGTTTTTCAATTGGATCAGGAATTTCTTTGAAATCCTCAGAGAATTATTGAGGTTCTGGTTTGCCACGTTCGTCCCGTAATCAGCTATTTGCGAGTCTCCGATCGGTGTAGTATCTGGACTGTAGGACTATGGGAATCATTCGAACAGACAGGCGAATCCTATCTCGGTGTCAGAGGAACCGTTGGTGGTTTCCAGCGTAGTTCGTGGAGAGTCTCGGCCGAGATGCCACTAGGCGACGGATGCTCTGCAGAAGTTATGAGCTGAGGGATCAGCCTTCTAGAGATCACCTCGCTCGTCCAGAATCTAAAGAAAGTTTTCTGAATGATGTTTCTTGAGATGAAGAAAGTAAAGCGAGCAATGGATTCCTCAAGCGTTCGATTTATTTGTTTTCAATCAGGAGCTCGTATCGAGACGTATGGCTGCTTTCCTCAACCAGCTCTTTTCAGCCTAACGAGATACTCGATCGTCGTTCCGCGCATCCTCTGCAAGGTTTCTGCAACCACAAACAAGGATATCATCGGGTTTTTCAGTGATGGTATCGCGGCGGATCGATCGACGAAGGCCATCTCACGAGGTGCACTTGCCTTTGACGCTGGTCAGATACCAGCTGAACGATGTGTCTGCCATCTGGTCCAGCATTCTTTGTATAGAGTTCGGCGGGGGGGTAGGAGTCGATGTGGTTTGCGCTTTTGCGCCACCCCTGAATCCTCCGAGGAACGGGACCTCGAAACCTTCAGGAACGAATCGATGGAAATTATGAAAATTCGACAGGCTCACTCCCGTCCTCTAATCATTGGAACCCACGGAGAGAGCAAACCACGCGGCAGCTCGTCCCCGACAACTATTTCTTGGAAACTTCCCACAGCACCTTCAATTCCGTCGAAGCTGAGTTACAGAAACCCACCTGAGGGGTTCCCATAACCCGAATCGGCCGGTTGAGGATCAAGTGTAAAATCTTGGCGCTCGTCGGGTCTTTCGGTGTTGTATTCATCGTCTGAAATCGTTCCACCACTCTAAGCGCCTGAATAATTAACCCAAGGACAATGTCGGCCCAGGTGCCCGGGAGTCAGTGGAAGCCCAGAAATGATCGTGCCCAGCGATTCCAGATGGTTCGAGTACCTAAGGATTAGAGCCGGATAAACTTTTCGAGAATGCAACCGGGCTTAGCCGCTTAGAGTCAGCCGCGGCGCCTTCTGTTCGGTTCAAATCGAGTCCCCACCCCACGAAGTTCTCTGATGGGACAAAGTTTTATTTTTATTCTCAGAAAGAGAGCAGTCATCTTCCGCGGATTCCATAACGACTCGATCACGGTCTTCCTGTTTCGATCATCCGGTCAATGATGGCGCTGAGCAGATCAGCGTTCTTTTCAATCAAAACTGAAATTCGGTTCCCCCGTTCGGGGAGAGATTCGTGAAACGATGTTTGCGCCTTAGGCTCACGCTTGATTTTCTCTGTGAGGTGTCCCTGAACCTAAAGATAAGGCCTACGCAGCGACTATGCTCCGGACAATCCGGTTGGGCTCACCTTTGAGACCGTCGAGAACAGTGTTAACGCGCATATCGTTGATGCCTTGCTGCATCCGACCGACGGGACTGAAGGGAGTCGTGCTCGCTCGATCGGAAAGGTCTCCAGTGATTTTGCCCGCCGCATCTTCTGCTGGCCGCGTCAGGCCGCCCATACTTTGTTTCAACGTGTCGAAGCCGCTTGACAAACTTCTCTCCATATTACCAGCATTATCTAGCGGCTTTTCGAATACGTTCCTGATGCCGGGCAGCTCCCCGTTGGCGTCCTGGAATAGCAGGAGGCCTGCGTCCCAAAAGCATGGAAGTTTTCAGTATCGATGCTCGATCAGAACGAGGAATGTTCGTTGCTAAATCTTCATCTGACGGTCCCTCCGGATGGAAACAGCCGGCCAGAAACTCGGCGGAGCTGTCCGATTCGATGGAGCTTTGACGTACTCACAAATTGAAGCGATCCAGAGAGCGAGTCTCGCGGGAACGCGCCCCATGTCAGCACCCCTGTCTCTCCGCGAGAGACTCGCTGCAAAGAAGCAACATTGTTTGGTTACTACAGTAAGTATAATATGATTCTCCCCCTTCAGCGGAGACACGGCCGCATCATGAGGACTTATTCGGCTTAAGGTGGGGCACATGATCATGTCCGCTGCTCAATCAAGAAGTATAAGGCTTGGATCCGTATCCTGTGGTGTTGTCCCTCTGAATGAGAATCAGTACGATGCGGAATCTAGTGATCCTCTGAGTCGGTGAACTTCCTCTTGGCGCTTTCCATCCCCCCTCCTCTCTTGCCCGTTTGAACCCCCGGAGCCAAAGAAGACGATTTCGTATCAGGCGCCGAGAGATGGACGTTCGAAATGAATCTGGAGCCGTCCCTGTCCGAATCAAACGAACATCTTAATCTGAGCAATCGAAGAAGAACATTGCAAGAAATGACCGAGATCTTTTCTCATCGGCGCTGCTAATTGCTCCCTCGTCTCGCCTCGGGTCGTGCGCCATATCGATCATCACAGACCGCAAATCGTGAGTCACGCGCCGCTAATCGGTCCCTACCACTTTCATGCTACCGTTTGCCTCGTCGCCGTCA